TTTTTGTTTGTTTCCTGTTGCATTATTTTAACAGAAAATGAGTGAATGATCATAAACTCAATAATCAAACATATCAAAGAAACAGCACGGTCAAATAACCATAAATCTAGTTTTATTATAAGTCCTTTGTGTCAGTCATTTCAGAACAGGTCTCGCTGTTCTCTAAACATGCCTTTCTTTAGTGTTTTTTTACCTCTGTGGATTTGCCCCTCCTAGCCTATCTTTATGTCTCTCCACCCTGCATTCCTGTCTCCTGAAATCCTACCCTTCTCTTAAAACCCATCTCAACCAAATGCTACTTCCTCAATAGAGCTTCCCCTGATTTTCTCTCATGACTGAAATCCTCCTTCAGCACCCCAGTAGGCCACAAAGAAGACATAAACAAAGTACCAATGCTCTATGGCAAGTCTTCTTAAAGGGAACAGTACTACCTTCCTTAGCACCAGTTTTCAGAACCTAAACAAATAGCTCCAGTATCTCAACTATGACTTAAGAGTACAAGAGAGAATTCAGAAAAGAATTTATTCCGAAATTATACAATATACAGTATGTATAACGATTTTACAAAGGATTAGACTGTGTACATGTTTATACACATGCACAATACAAATTTTAAGAACTGTCTTTAAAAATATAAGCAAGAAATGAAGCAGATTATAAGAACAAACCAACAAAACTTAGTCAACTGCTGTCCTAAACTCACAACTAAAGTCTTTGTATTTCTGGGAAACAAGATAGTTTACTGTCTACAGAAACATTAGAAAAAACTTGGGGTTGATTCATCATAATCTTTATTAGAAAAGATTAGAACTGTTATTCACAGAAAAAGGAAACACTCATTATCTTAATTTAAAATCTGGAGCTGTTTGTATGGCTCTGTGACACCTAATAATACAATAAACTAACCATATAGAAACACAAACCAATTATAACTTCATATACAGCAGTGGTCTTCAATGCCAGTTGGTGGACTGGTGCCAGCTTGCAGGTGTAGAAAGGCTGAAAACAATGAACTGCTGTAGTGGTTATAACTGCTAATCTGTGGACAGGTGCCACTCTACAGGTGTAGAGGCTGAAGAATGCTGCAATAGAATCCAGCTGCTGCTTTTTTGTTGCTTATTTTGGGCCATACTCAGCTGTATTCAGTGCTACTCCTGGCTATAACTCAGTGTTGCTAGGGGGACCATATGCGGTGCTGGGGACTGAACCCAGGTCAGACATGTGCAAGGCAAACATCCAACTTTCTCTCTGGCACAATGGGTTCTTAATTAAGTCTCTTCCACTTTGATGCTTTTTGCCTTAGAAATGCACCACATGCAAGCAATGCCTGAGACACCTCACATTTATTATGGGGTTGACTTGGAATTACTCTCTGGTGGTGGAACATTCAGAAAACTTTTCCTGATGTCAATTTTTCTGTGCCGCTCACTTTTCATAGCACGATCCTTGAAGAGGTCACAGTCCACTATAACAAACACTGATGCTGGTGTTGCAATTTGTGTTAAGCAGCATATGAGTGACAGCACTGGTGACACACCAGCAAATGGTATTAAGATGCCAGGAGTTAGAGTACCTTGTTATTATTATTTTTTTTCAGTTTTTACTAATTCACTGATAAAGTGTGGCAGAGTTGTAGGGACAGGTTCCAAAACAAACGTAAATGACCCGTCTGGATTTCCTCTGCTTGTACTGTAGCACCATCTGTCCCCATGCCAGCACGAAGCAGCAAGGAATGGGAAAGATTCAGGTGCGTGTTACATCATCTCTAATGGTCTTTAGATAATTCCTATGGTTATCTGTGGCTAACCCACTTAAAAAACTTTTTTTTTTTTTAAAGAACTGTGATTTACAAAACTGTTGATAACCACATACAAAAAATGGGCTTAGGCCTCAACCTAACACCATGCACAAGCGTCAGATAAAAATGGATTAAAGATCTCAACAACAGGCCAAAATCCATAGATACACTGAAGAAAATGTCAGTAAAACCCTCCACGATATTTAGGCTAACGGTATCTTCAAAGACAACACTTCACTGACCAACCAAGTGGAAACAGAGATAAACAAATTAAGAAGCTTCTGCACTTCAAAAGAGACAGTGACCAGAATACAAAGACAATCTACAGAATGGGAAAGGATATTCACCCAATACCCATTTGATAAGGGGTGGATATCAAGGATATACAAAGCACTGGTTGAACTCCACAAGAAGAAAACATCTAAGCCCATCAAAAACTGGGGTGATGAAATGAACAGAAACTTTCCCAAAGAAGAAATCCAAATGGCTAAAAGGCACATGAGAAAATGCTCTACATCACTAATCATCAGGGAGATGCACAGATACATCAATGAGATATCATCTCGCACCACAGAGACTGGCCCACATCCAAAAGAACAAAAGCAACCAGTGTTGGCGTGAATGTGGCGAGAAAGGGACTCTCCTTCACTGCTGATGGGAATACTGACTGGTTCAGCCCTTTTGAAAAACAGTATGGACGAGTCTCAAAATTTAGAAACTGAGCTCCCATTTGACCCAGAAATACCACTCCTGGGAATATATCCTGGAGAGGCAAAAAAGTACAGTCGAAATGGTATCTGCACTTCTATGTTCATTGCTGCACTGTTCACAATAGCCAAAATCTGGAAAAAACCCAAGTACCCGAGAACAGATGACTAGTTAAAGAAACTCTGGTACATCTACACAATGGAGTACTATGCACCTGTTAGAGAAGATGAAGTCATAAAATTTACATACAAATGGTACTACATGAAAAGTATCATGGTAAGTGAAATGAAACAGAGAGGGATAGACATAGAATGATTGCATTCATTTGGGGAATATAAAATAACAAAAGAGGAGAATAACACCCAAGAATAGCCAAGGTAAGTACCTCCATGGCTTGGAGGCCTGCCGCACATGCTAGGGGAAAAAGCAGCGCAGATAGAGAAGGGAGCACCAAGTAAAGGGTGTTGGGAGAATCCTCGCAGGATGAGAGATGCATGCTGAAAGTAGACTATAGACCGAACATGATTGCCACTCAATGCAAACCACAGCACCCAAAAGGAGAGAGAGAAAACAAAGGGGAATGCCCTGCCACAGAGGTGGGGTGGGGTAGTGGGAGGGATACTGGGATCATTGGTGGTGGAGAATGGGCACTGGTGGAGGAATGGGTACTCAATCATTGTATAACTGAAATCCAAGCACAAAAACTTTCTATTTGTTTCGCTAATAAAAATAATTTTAAAAAAAACCCAAAACTCTTGATAGTTGAATTTTAGGCATATAATATTTCAACACCAATACCAGCATCACAGTCAACCTTCTTCCACCAGTGTTTCCATATTCCCTCTCCACCCAACCCCATCATTAGCTCCATCCCTCACCTGTAAACAAGTATATTACAAAGTTCCAGTGATTTCTGCTTAGATGTCATGTTTTCAGTTTTGGTAAGTGTGTGTTTTGAATATATGGCTCTACCATTCACCCATATCACAAGTATAACTGACACCCTGATGCCTATTCACTCATTGCTTCCCAATCTCTTCTTCCCCCCTTGATTTCTTTCTTTCTCTGTCTTTCTCCTCTTTAAATACTGGGGTCAAGGGTGATCTAGGAATCTTCCCTTTACTGTAATAAATTTTGAGGCTAACCCACTTTCAAAATTACTAAAGTGCTAACAATGATATAGTATGGATTGCAAATACAAGCATTTTTTTAAAGTATGCTTTTTTATAAAACATAAAAGCTTTCTTCTTTGAAAGCAATGTTTTAGGCAACATTTTTAAAAGTCAAAGATTCTTATTCATGGCCGGAGCAATATGCCTGGCACGAGGCCGACCCAAGTTCAATCCCCAGGATCCCATATGGTCCCCCAAACACCACCAGGAGTAATTCCTGAGTGCAGAACCAGGAGTAAGCCCTGAGCATTGCTGGGTATGACCCAAAAAGAAAAAAAAATAGATTCTTATTCACAGTCATTACATCTAACAGATTTCATTAAGAGCCTATTGGATGTGTGGCACTATTATAAATTCTTGAGTATAAAGCAGTAAATGGATAAGATCTAATGGCCACACTGTCAATACATTTTAAAATATCTTATGGTTTCAAACCGTGCTCTGAAAACAAAAGCAACTAGAATGAGACCAAGTGTTCATCAGGGGTCAGGGTAAGAAATCAGGCAAGGAAGGAAGTCGGCATGCAATATCCAAATATGTGTGAGCCCCACAACTAAAATATGTGATCAATGAAATAACATGGAGAGTGACAGGAAAGGGAATTAGAAAAAAATTTTTTTAAAAAAAAAAATCACATTTTTCTTGCTCAACCCCATTTACCACTTGCAGGTCTCAAATCAAGACAACCTCAACCATGACTGTCTAAAAGAAACTTTAGCTATATTAATGCTTCCATAACGCCCTAGGCGTTCGCCTTACAAGCGGCCAACATGGCCGACCCGAGTTCGATTCCTCTGCCCCTCTCGGAGAGCCCGGCAAGTTACCGAGAGTATTCGATATGCCAGACACAGTAACAACAAAGTCTCCAATGGAGACGTTACTGGGCCCGCTCGAGCAAATCGACGATCAACGGGAGGGCCTTTACTTTACTTTTACTATTAATATCATCCTAAAAACTTTCTAACAGAGCCAGAAAATAGTACAATGGGGAGAGTATTTGTCTTGCACACAGCTAGCCTGGTTTCCATCCCTGGCATCCTATATGGTCCCCCGAGCATTGCCAGGAGTAATTTCTAATTGCAGAGCCAGGAGTAACCCCTGAGCACTGCCGAGTGTGACCCAAAAAAGCAGAAAACAAGCAAAAAAAAAAAACTTCCTAATATCCTAGTTCAAACATTATAGATACTTTAAAGCAGAATAATACTATACTGTATTTAAGATTCTACAAGTCATATTTTTCACAGGTTTATGGAACCATCTCTTTTCAGTCTGAAATCAGTATGCAAGTTTTATCAGTGTAAGAATATGATATATTTTCTTACCTCCACCTTAATTCTCTTTGGGGATAATTCATCTCTTTCTCCACATTTTGACCTAAGGAAAATGAGAGTATCTGAGAAGTCAGCAAGCTTATTATAAAGACATTTCAATTTGTAACCGCCCACATTTGAACTCACATAACCTTGAGATCCTGACACCAGAAATAAGACATTCATAACGAGAATGCAAATAATCAAAGAAATTTCTCATTATTTCTACTCTAGGGAACTTTACAAATATAATTATACTATATATTTCTTTATATGGAGCCAAGGATTAAACACAGTGCTTCACAGATGTAAAAAGTATTTTCCTACTGAACCACCTTATGGCTACTACCTAAGAATTTCCCCCATGGAAAGTATTCAATACATTTATAATTACTGTAACTTCATGAAAATGAAAAAAAATAAGGAATATTTAATTCTATGCTATTTCTTTATGGGTTAATAAAAAAGGGATGAAATGACAAAATTTATCATTTAAGATGAGTGCTTAAAAAATAAAAAGAAGTGTAACAAAAATTTTTAGTCTCTACAAAAAAAAAAAAAGATGGTTCCCAAGCAGAAAGGGAAAAGGGGAATATATATATATATATATATATATATATATATATGATCAATGTGATCATGGAAACAGCACTAGAATTTCGGTGATGGGTTTGATGAGGCATATAAACCAGAGATATGGCAAATAGAGATGTGAAGTTGTACTCCTAAAAATCGTACAATAGTAAAACCAATAAAAAATGAATGAAAATTTAATTTTAAAAAGGTGAGTGCTTAAGGCTATAGAAAATTAAAACTAATTTGTCTGTTTAAAGTACAGATGAGGTTTCTTGTTTTAGAGCTCTACCGGGAATCTACCCCACAGAGGAAGCTTCACGTATATGAAATACAACTACCAATTAAACTATGATAAGCTATCAATAATAATATATACCTATTTTTTAAAAATGACATTAAAATGTGAAATTGGTGCAACTGAATCAATAAAATACATTGCGTATGATTATTTATTAGGTTACTGTTCATAATAACAAGAGATCAGAAACAATTCCAGCAGTCCCCTACAGGGACTGTTTAAATATGAATTATGGTATAGCCACATGGTGCAGTACATGCAGCTACAAAAAGTAATAAGCAAGATGTGTATGTACTAGTATAGAGAGGGCTATAAGGCATGTCTTTAAAAGAGCAAAATATACAATAGTATATATGCATGCCACCAAACGTTTTTGTTTGGAGAGGGGAGCCTCATAAACAGTGCTCAGGAGGCTTGGGGGTTGGTCCCACCGGTGACTCTTGGTTAACAAGGCTGGCAGTTCACAGCAAGGGTCCAAGGACATGAAGCTGCTCTGCCCCTGTGCTGCCTGGGGATTACCAGGACACTCGGTGGGTGATGGGGGGGCCTTCAGGGCTGCACTGGGGATGCTCAGGGGACAGTGTAGTGCCAGGAATGCTATGCATGTACCTGCACCACTGAACTATCTCCCAGTCTCCCCAACAGCTTTTTTGAAAAGTTCTATATATACACTAATATATATTGAACATATATTTATTTCATGAGCATAAACATTGGAAGGATGAACAAAAATCCTTTAAAAAAAAGAACCCAACCACCTTTATCGAGGTTAAGAGAGAAGGAATGGGAATATCAATTGTTTGCATTAACTATTCACTTTAACTATTAACATCATATTGACTTCCAAATTTTGTAAAAAAAAAAACAAATATAAATTAAGATATAAAAACCAATGTAAATACTAGAACAAATGCTAAAATTACAAAGATAATGGAAATTAAGGAGGGGGAAAAGTTGACACAGAGGAATTGCTGAGATTCACTATTAATCAACATACTAAAAAACTTCTCAAATAATCACTGAAATAGTTCTTGATTAGCCAGCTCCTTTTCTTTTATAGGATCCTGTAATACTGCTCTATGTTCATTTAATCTGCATAACTTTGCTTACCGGTTCCTAAATATGAAGGTTTTGGAGTAAGGGTAGAGAATAAAGCTGATATACAGCAGGGAAAATAATGGTGATGGCAGGAAAAAAAAATGCTTGAATGTTTTTTCAAATTTGAACAAACATGAAGAGTCATCAGGGATGCAGTGGCAAGTCTGGATTCCAAGCCTTCATCCCAGTCAGTGACTCTTGATTACATTAGGGATTAGGCAGAGTGCTTCAGAATGCAGATTTACAACAGTACTCAGTTACTCGAATTCATGTGGTCAACTATATGTACTCAATCAGTGACACACACAACTAACAATGTACTAGACACCTCACTAGCTCCATGAGGAAATGTGAACACAATCAAAATGCTCCTAACACCTATGGACAAGATCCAGTTTCAGGTGAGAAAAAGAAGGAAATTATGGTGTATTTATAGTAAAATTTAGAACTGCTACTGCTTTTCAACATTCATACATCCCATATTCCGTCTGTTGAAAATAAAATTACCTCCTGATTTTCCCTGAACTACTGGTTGAGTGTGTAATTTTTTTCTTACTTATATAGTAATCTCATTAGACTAAAGCACTTGCAAAAGAACCTTATTCCTCAGAGTTCAATGAGTTCGTGCAGTGATGATTGTACAAAGACAATATAAATGCTATCTCCCATGGCACTCGAAAACCAAAGCACATGTGCAAAAAAATCGGAGCTAGAACAATGCCATAGTGCTAAGAAACTGTCTTTCGAAAAGACAGAAAAGAAATAGTTTTCTGTTTCAGTTTTCTGTTTCAGAAGTTTTAAATAGATTTGAAAAGTCATTTCATTAACTTATAGAACTATGAGCACATTTCTGCTTTTTTCAGAAATGCTTACATTCTGGTGTTTTAAGTTCTACTTCTATGCAAAAACACTGTACTGAATTGTCAATGAATTGAACACTTACTTGGTAGTTCTGTAAGTATACTTGTAGGTGACTTCTCGTGAAATCTGCCTCGCTAAGGCAAAAAGTTCATCTCTTCTTGTCAGCAAGGCATTATCCTTCACACAGAGTTGGGCAGCAGCTTCATTAACAGTGAGCTTCACAGCCAAAAGAAAGTTTTAACCTTTATAAACATTTTTATTCCAGCTTACAAAAAAGCATTTTGCTTCAACATAGAGAAATGTCACATTATGTAATAAAATCATCATTTATAAAAATCAAAATTCTAATTAGAGCCCCAATGCTATTTTATAAAGGTCAAGTTATCTATTCCATCTCATAACCCAATCATCATTAAACAGTATGCTTTATTTTCCTTTAAGCAGAACTGACAGAAAATAAATAGTAAAAAAATGTTCTGCACCTCACTCTGATGAAGAGTTAAGGATTTGATTGTATGGTATGGTGATAATACTTTCCTAACAAAAACTGAGTGTCAATGATCTAACCAATTTCTTTTTTAAGTATGAATTGACATGGAAGTTCTTAAGGAGGTTTAAAAGACGGATTTTAAAATATTTATTGTTCAGTAAAAACTAGCTATCAAAAGGGACAATAAGAGAAAAAAATCAAGATTTTATTATTTATTTTATAAACTGCTAAGATTTCTTTAATTTTACTTTTTTATATAAATGAAAAAGTTGCCAGTATAAAGTTTCTAGATCACCAAACACCTTGTACTAAATTCTAATACAACAAATGTTCCCCTAAACTCAAAACCTACTCAACTGCTTCATAGTTAGACATCTTTTCACAAAAGAACCCTACATATTTAAACAGATGTAGGGACCTGCCGAAAGATAGAGCAGTTTTTAAAAAAGGATGAAATACACTATTCAGGACACAACTGAGAACAGAAAAGGTGACAGTAAACAGACCAGAGGTGAGTCCTACTCCATTACTTAGAGGATGGGGGAACAGGTTTCTCAGAGGTCAAATGAGACAATCTCTCTCCATGGAGTCTAATAGCTACTAGGAGGCAACATACCTTACACTAATTTGTTAGTACTACTTCTCATTTTCCTGTCATAAAAAAGTAAGTTAATGACTCCTTCCTACCCTGGCACCCAGCTTTACTCATATTTTGTATATTAAAAGTTTTAAAGAGAAAGAAGCAGAAGAGAAAATACATTCAGCATGACATTCTATTTTAATGTACATTATCCAATATTGTTCTGTGTACATAAAAATATACAACTATGTTTATGAATGTAGATATGTAATGTGTTTTTCACATGCTGTGTTTTTATATTTTAACAAGTACTAAGGCTTATTTACGTTATCAGCATCTGGTGTGGGTTGGATTAAAACCTGAATAAATATATGCTGACTGGTGAATTAAATACTCCTTCTAGTATCATTTTTACTACAAAACACCAATATTTCACTGTAGGAATAGTCAATGTATTTATTAAGCGAACCACATTCTGGACTTTGTCCCGAATGGGGCTCTAAGTTCTTCAAATACTATTTTAAAAAAAAAGCTTTGAAGAATAATCTTAATAGTGTCTTTGAACACATATTCAATTATTTTCTTAAAACAAATTCCTGTAAATAAATTTAGTAGGTTACAAAATATACTAAAATTGCATAAGATTTACATATTTCATCCAATTCCTCTCCAGATAAGATGCTTCAAATCATGATCCAACCAAAATTTAAAAAGAGTCCATTAAAAAAAAAGAGTCCATTTCCCAAAATATTCACAAACTCTGTTTATTCTCTTTTAAAAGTTTTAAAATTTGATAATTTTTATTGACAATTGGTTATGCTTTGCTTTTTACTATGAGTCTTTTTTTTCAATCATTACATTTTAAAAATCTGCTTCATTCTATTCCTCTGTATTCTTTTGTTTCTAGGGACTGTAAGATTCATAAGGTAGTAAGAACATTATTTTTTCAGTTTGTCATCAGTCATGGTTTTTGTCATAGTTCCCTTCTCATATGGAAATGCATAATTCTTCTATAATTTTGTTTAATAATATTTTTCCTCTCAAGTATTCAATCCACTTAAGGGACAAAAAGTAACATGGTATTTGATAGGGTATGGGTATTAAACTTCCTCTTTCTTTAATTTTTGAATCAAAATTAGCACCGGCTTATTTTGAGACAAATAACTTGTCTCAACAGATCACAGATCACAGATCATCCTGTTATTCGTCAATTGCCTCGAGCAGGCCCCAGTAACGTCTCCTTCATCCTGGCCCTGAGGTTATATTCAAGGCTCTTTAGGAGAATGAGACCCATCATTGTCACTGGTATTTGGCATATTGGGTGCGCCACGGGGAGTTTGCCAGACTCTGCCATGTGGGCAGGCTACATTAGGTAGCCTGCCAGTTTGTCCCAAGTAGGAATGAGATAATAAGATGTCTTCCGGGAGCTGGTTTTTATAGTCTCAGAGTCTTGGCCGCTGATGGGATTACACGGCGCCAGGGGGCCAGTTGGTGGGTGTGACCCCCGCCTACAGGAATTTGGAGGATCTGGGTGGAGGATGCTCGACTCCAATCCGAGTAGGCTTGGAGATCTCGGCCCCAGAACCCACGTGGCTTTGTCCCTCTGCCGGTACCTTCAGGTGTGTGGAGAGTGGTCTCAGCATGGTGGTGGCTGGTCCTGGAGGTCTTCGGCTGCCGGGGCCCTGGCCAGGGCGGGGAGGAAAGCTCAACCCGCTCCCCTCCAAGGGGCTCCGGCAAGGAATAGCCAGGCGCGGGGGCAGGAGACTGCGCTCTTCTCCTCCGGGAGCTGGTTTATAACTCGTCTACTAATAACAAAGTTGTAATATGCTTGGGCTTTTTCAAAATTTCATTTTTTTGCTTTTTGGGTCACACCCGGCAATGCACAGGGGTTACTCCTGGCTCTGCACTGAGGAATTCCCCCTGGCGGTGCCCAGGGAATCATATGGGATGCTGGGAATCGAACCCAGGTCGGCCACATGCAAGGCAAACACCCTACCCACTGTGCTATTGCTCCAGCCCCACAGGCTTTCTTTTTAAAACCACTGCTGAAAATAATTGGAGGAAGAACTAATTCTCAGCCTGCTTCCCACTACCTTATTACAAACAAAAACCTCACCCCAGAAATCAAATTTGTCATGCTTTTGAAAAGCACAATGTTAGCAGAGCTAAGAGTGATATATACTTTTAAGGAAAAAAAAAATTTTAATTAAGGGGGGAAAAGTGAACATACTTTAAAGAATAATTTCCTAAGTAAACTTCAATTTTAGCTCATCACAGTAACTACAATAATTTAAAGATCCCCTTGAGTTCATCTTTCCACACAGCTGGGTTTTTTTATTGGTACTCATAAATCTAAATAACTATAGAGAAATTCTAATTTAACCGGCATTTCAGAGATATCAGTTCATGCACAAAACCAGAAAATGACTTCAACATAAACTGAAAACAAAGTTCTTGTTTTCTGTCATTCTACCAAAGGGTGGGAAAAAGGCACCACATTTTTGTCACTGAATTTAGGCTCCACCGGACCAAAAAAGTAGACTGAACTTTCCAGGCCCTCAGGGAGCCTTGAGGTAGGAAGAAAAGTAAGTTTTAGAAATAATTACAGCTCACTCCTACTTGCTACAAGATGCCCATTCACAAAGCTATCCCCTCACAACATCTGTAGACTAAATAATTGCATCAGTAACTATTATATACTCTATAAAGAAAAACGGTAAAAATATGCCCAAACAACAGTTGTCCATCCACTAAAGTACCATGTAAGGTTTTTAAAAATTCTAAGTTTCTAATTTTTTTATAATTATAAAATAGCAAGATACTCTTCCTTAATGTTTTACTTTTCTTAGCACTGCACTCGAGCAGACACCAGTAACGTCTCCACTGTGAGACTTGTTATTACTGTCTTCGACCTATTGATTATGCCATGGGGAGCTAGCCTGGCTCTGCCCGTGCGGATGGGATACTCTCGGTAGTTTGCCGGGATCTCCAAGAGGCATGCATACACACACACACACACACACACACACACACACACACACACACACACACACGTATTTTTCTTATAGTACTGGGATGAAACCCTAGGGTCTCACAACTTCTAGATTTATGCTCTGCCACTAAATTATAAATCAGGCCCTAAAAGATGTTTTGAAAATAGCTTTCCATAATTTTAAAGTAGACTTAAAACTTTCCTTACTTGTATTAAATTTTATTATTTATTTATTTGGGCTGGAGTGATAGCACAGCGGGTAGGGTGTTTGCCTTGCACGCAGCCAACATGGCCGACCCGAGTTCGATTCTTCCACCCCTCTCGGAGAGCCCAGCAAGCTACCGAGAGTATCTCGCCCGCACGGCAAAGCCTGGCAAGCTACCCATGGCATATTCAATATGCCAAACACAGTAACAACAAGTCTCACGATGGAGACGTTACTGGGCCTGCTCGACAAATTGATGAACAATGGGAGGACCGTGGAGACGTCACTGGTGCCCACTCAAACAAATCGATGAACAGGAGGACAGTGCTACAGTGCAATATTTATTTATTTAATCATTTATATATTTAGGGCTATACCCACAAAGCAAGGTGCCACAAAATACAGTTGGCAACCTGTGTGAGAAGGAAAGCTCCAAAGGCAATGAACAGCTGAGGATAGATATGGGGTAGTAGTAGAGTACATACCCGAATATGAGGCCCTGGGTTCCATCCCTGACAACAAATACACACACACACACACACACCCCAGTTGCAGAGCAAGTGAAAAAATACCATGTGCAGGTCTTAAGTTCTATCCCTGGCACTGTAAGCTCCACCAAGGCAGGGGAGAGGACTACAACCCCAGAACAATTGGGCAGACCTTCTGTTTTAACAAAAACCAAACAAACAAAAAAAAACCCCTTAGGGACTTTCTCACTCTGCCAGGAGTGATCCCAAAACACAGCCAGCTATGGTCAAAAAACTAAGACTTGGTTCTAGCATAGACTGGCCCCACTCACAAAACTTATCTAAATATGACAACTAAAATAGAGGATAAAATATCATTTTAAAAATGTATCAATGTGCTAAGATAAGGACAAGTCAAGCCCAGAGGAATGAAACCAATATCTCAAATGAAGGATCTGAGGGCAGCTGCTAAGCTAATCATA